TCAATGTGTCTGTCCATTTGATAACTTTACTGGCTCCGTCTCGTCGCCCCCCCATCTCTCTTCCTCTCTCCCTCCTTGACGAACCTGCGTCAGGCGGCCAAGTCTGCCATCAACAAAGCCCATTGTAAGGTGAGAAAATGGCCCCACTTCTTTGGGCCAAAGCACTTTTTTGATCTGGAAGGAAAACGAGGCGGCGCTGCCTGGCTAATCCGCTTTAAGAGATGGGGCGCTATTCATGCACGTTACATATCTTTTTACAGGGTTAAGTATTATTTACTAAAGCAACATTTAGGGTGCAGACAATAGATGGATACTGTTGCGCGGTTCGTTCCCTTGGAAGGTAAGGAGAGACGTTTTATATGAGGGACGGCGGTAAAGCACACGCTCTCAAGCTAAAGTGAAGCTATGCAGGGTGTCGTACAGGGTGTATTTTGTGTCAAACAAATACTTGAGACTGGGAAATGCAGAGGAGAGGTGTGGAGTTTGTTGTAAGAGAGACAATAACTTAGTAGTGAGGATGAGGTAATGGAATACTTGTGTTACTGGTGTTCCTTCCAGGGAAATGTCACACTCTTGGCCACTACATTCTTGTACACTTGACGGTTGCTAAATAGCACTTCAGCTGTCTTTGCCCGAAAATGGAACCAGCAACTCTCCAGCTGCGAGTGACAACTGCTTGATTTTTTTTTTTTGGAAAGCGTCATGATTTAACTGTTGACTTCATCAGAAGCTGCCTGCTACGTTGGAAGTTATTGTAAAAGGAGCTTTCCCTACACTAACACCACTTCTTTGCAATGAAAATACAGAACTGGCAGCCTCTTTGTCTCCAAACCGGATCACACACAGCCACCTAATCAAAACAAACTCTCTCAGCCTCTTTTTGCACACACACAAACACACAGGGCCTTCCCTTTTTTGGGGTCAGTTGTTCTAGCACCATCCGCAGAATCCCCCAGCGCCTGCTTTTCTCTGAGGCTTTGTGAAGTGCTGATGGTCAGCATGCGCCAGGCCGTGCCTCTCCCCCATCCGCACCTCTACAACCCACCCCACGGGGGCTATTGTCCTTCATGCTGTTTACCATCGGGATAACGCTGAAACGGCAGGGGTGTTCTAGGGCACAAGGTGACACTTCGAGTTATAAAAGACTAGGTATAGATCTGTACTGCATCAGAGAAATGATAGAAAAGCAGTTATACGGTTCGATACTCGTGCAATGGTGCAAACTCAAATATGGTATAGTTTATGATCCAACTCAATATTTAACCCTGCTGCAGTGAATTCCCATGCATCTCCACGCTTTCTTAAATCCCTGATATGAATAGCTCGACCCGGACACACACACAAAAAGAGTTATTGTCATTTCCTTTCTCCTTTTCTTCCTATTCAGGGAAGGAGAGCATCCCTGCCTCTCTGTGAACTGAATCTTAACAGCTTTGCTCTGGGCACAATCAGGTAACAGAGCGATCCTCTGTCAGAAGGTGAGAAAAAACGGGAAGGGTAGGACAGCTCAGACAGAGGAGGTGTCACACCCGCTGCCTGATAAAGGACTGTTAACACAAGCTGCCGTGTTGGCCTAGTGGGGAAAAAATGAACACCTGCTTTGAAAAGAAAAGGCTTTTTGAGCGTGCTTCACCTATTTTAAACCACGAACAACAAAAATACTGACTTGTATTGTATTTGAAATGTAGGAAATCAACCTTCAGTATGATCTATCCTCTCAAACTGCAGGTTGTGGTTGTGTTGAAGGCCTCCAGAAGAGTACACGGATTAGACGGAGAGGCTTTGGAAAATGATAATTGCTGAAAAACAAAGCACTGCACCCATTCATGTGTAACTCATCAAAAGCCATTAGTGATAGCTGCCATTAAAATTCGCTTCATCTGATGTCCAATTACAGTGCTGTGATATTTGGACAATTGCACCCATTTTACCAGGCGTATGGACCGGTTTGTCGGCTGCCGGGGGCTTGGCTGGGTGTTGGGTGTGTGCCCGTGTATGTGCGTGTGTGTGTGCGTGCATGCGTGCGTGCGTGCGTGCGTGTATGTGTGCGCGCGCACGTCTCGCCTGTCTAAGGTCATCTCATCAAAAGCTGTGGGCTCAGCCAGAGAAGAGGGACATGCTGGTTAAATCCATAAGGGAACGTGTTTCTCCGTGTGATTGTGTTTGTGTACATTTGTGCATATATAAAAGTAAAATGATACAAAAATGAAGGAAAACAAAGGCAGATATAAATTAAAATTATATATTTAAAAATGTATCTTGATGTGTAACAAAGGTGGCTGGTGGCTAATCATTTTATAGCCCATATGGTCATAGATACAGTGTGGTACACTCAATGAAGAGTGTAGAAAATAAGTGGCTCATGCCGACTCGAGTAATAATCAATGCTTTAAATAAAAAACATCATTTAAAAACAGGATTTACAAGAAATGCAGCTCATCACACACACACACACACACACACACACACACACACACACACACACACACACACACACACACACACACACACTCATATTATTTCTCTATAGCCTTGTATTTAATGACATTTATTGCCTATCCAGTCAGCTCTCTTTGGCTTCCAAACCCTCCATCCAATTACTATATTCCTCTCTATTTACTCATCTATCCAATCTGGTTGTTTTCAGTTTCCAAGCCATCTATTTAAAATCTAAATCGGGATCAAGGGAGAAACCAGATGACAGAGATTGGTTGCCGAGCTGCTGCAAAAGGCGTGCTTGGAATGAAGCAGACAAAGACAACGCGTGTTATGATAAAAAAAAATTAAAAAAGGACCTAAAATCAATAGTCAGTTTCATTCTAATACAGTGTAACAATGTGACAGTGGCTACATAAATCCAGCCGGGCTTGTAAGCGGGCCAAGTCTCATTGGTATTCCTGGGTGCTATTGCTAGGTAAAATGTATTGATGTGCAGATAGATGCACGTGGCCTCGGTACGTGACTCTGGGCTTTACTACGACACGAGTAACTGCGCGCGTCTCTGAGAGAGGGAGAGAGAGAGAGAGAGTGTTGCAACTTTTATGGCTGAGGTTCCCGCAAGATCCTTTTGCGTATTACTAGGCCTGATCCATCTCTGGAGACCTCGCTTGTGGAAGGTTCATCGTACCTTTCCAAAGCTGTTGAACAGGAGGCTCATTTTTCAGGTTTTATTTCTCATGGAGTGTCAAACCTGGTAATGTTGTCTGGAGAGTATCATTCAGTGGCGACACAGTATCATTCAAGTTCATTCCGTGGCAATCTGGGCGGTGGCTGCTGGTCGTGATGGATGGCCAGACAGACAGATGGTCAGATCGATCGATGGACTGACCGACAAACGCCATCAGGGTCGGACGGTGCAAATATAAGCACGTAATGATAAAGGACGGAGCAGAGGTAGAGCAGGCTGAAATGTTGACAGGAGAGAACAGGGCATAATGGGAAAGGGGCAGGAGGTGAGAGGGGGGGCGGAGGGGGGACTGATTGACGGTGTTATAGCAGTGCAACAAGCTGGCATGAATTTTTTCTTTTTTTCTCCTCCACCCATCTGTTCATCAGGATTACTCATAGAGAAGGATGGAGAGGAGGAAAGAGGGAACTGTAGGAGGGCAAAGACTGTGAGAGGAGAGGAGATCCGTCAGCACGACCTACAATAACTGAATCCAAACCACTTGTCCATGTCATCTTTTCAGTAAAATAAACTGCCAGGATAATGACTCACTGTTAAAATTATGGATCAGAGCAATATAGTGGAGTGCTCTTATGGCGCTGTTCAGGTTCCAATGATAGTAATGGGAGGTGGAAATATCGTAGTGGAGTGTTATGTAATACTGTGCTGCAGCACTTGCTCGCTTGCTCTACTTACGAAGACATTGCTCCCTGCTGACAAATATGTTTTTATGTGTTTTCCACGAGGCAGACGCAGCACGTGTGTATTAATGTTCACACAGGCCTGTAGTACACAATCTTTATATTGTTGCTGCTCAGCATTGACACAGAAATACTGTCTACTACAGTAGTCAGACTTCTTTTTTTTAGACCTAATTCTATTTTTATCTCGATGTGCATAAAATATGAAATGAAACTGTATTTTTTATTTTTTTTTTCATAAATTGTTCATTTGAGTGTGTTAAATGGCATCTGTGCACTGTCTGCATCCTCTCCCTGTTTGTGTGTGCGTGTGTGTGTGTGTGTGTGTGTGTGTGTGTGTGTGGATAGAAGTGTGTGTTCAGCAGCAGGTGATGCCAGAATATGTGGCTCCTATTTTTCCACTCAAACACCTCTCGCCTTGCTGGGTGTGGCCATACTGTTAATTTCACTCCCAGCTTCTAGCCTGTCAATGTTTTCACATCTACTCACTAACATTATTTTTCTGCATCAGGGAATTCAACATAGCAACTAAAAGCAGCGAAAAAAAGATGACCCTTAAACAGCCACACAGAGGTTGCAACGAGCCTCATGCAACTGTTCGTTGACTTGCCACCTGGTGAGAATACAGTACATGCTGCAGATATACCAAGAGGGCACAGCCAAGACTGCAAAGGGTATAAATCAGTCACTGCCACTGTGAGTCACTCCTTAACACTCAGCACTTTCCCTCCATGCTAACTTGACCTTTCTTATTTGAAATACAGCCATGGTTTGAAAAGCTTCGAAAATTCACAAAAGGTCCTTTCGAGTGCCGTTTCAAACGCGAGGATATTTACGGTTCTGTCAGAAACGGATACGACGAAGACCGTTTAGCAGAGAGTGCACATATACAGAATAACACTGGGACGCCACATACACGAAATGCACAAGGCCAGGCGCGCGCTATTAGTGAAGATTATTATTATTATACAGACGATGTTATCTATGTCAAACTTGAAGCCGTTTACAGTCTGCACAACAGTTTAAAAAAAAAAAAACCCTCAACCAGCGAGACATCAGGGGTTACCAACAGTGAAATAATGGTTACATTAGTAAAGCAGACAAAATAGATTCATTAGCAATCTTTCACTTACCTGTGAGGATTCAACTTCAGCCACCGTCTCGTCCTCAGAAGGTCGTTCAAACCTGCGTGTGCGAGAACAACATGAGGCATTAATGGGGCTGTTTTCCAGCTAAAATTAGAAAAACCGGTTCTGAAGCTCATGCTATTATGAAGGTTTAGGGATGAAAGAATAATCTAATATTATCAGAGCAGCGTTTCTACTGCTTTTGTCCCCTGTGATATTATGTAGCTATGATGTTTTTATTGCAACTCATTTGGCAAAGAAATGCTCAGTCAAAGACCTGCACAGCTTACATTTATGCAAACATGGCTCAGTGTCCTTCCAGTAGTTAATCAGCATCAGATAAGATGGAAGGAAATGGACAAGCAGATAAATGACACGCTCACTTGAAATGACTGGTGGTGTAAAGGTTCAATATTTGAAACTGTTGTCTTTGGTTGACAAAAATAAATGAATAAAATACAAATATAATACACTTATCCTTGTTTTTGGAAATCAACTATTCTCATGAAAGAAGCTAAATGCAGTTAACAAAATATAATTGACAAAGGGACATATTCAGTAATAGACTTAAATTCATTCATCATATCAGCCCAATGTCACACACACACACACACACACACACACACACACACACACACACACACACACACACACACACACACACACACACACACACACACACCTCGCAACTCTCCAGGGAATACCCAGTAAATGACTGTGTCTAGCTGAACACAAGGCCTTCAATCAATAACCAAAATGTCTCCAGTCACTTTTATTACTTTTACCTCCAGCAGGGGACACGCACACAAATGAAAGGTTATCCCACACCACCCCACGCACACAGACATGCCACACACACACACACACACACACTAAACAAGCTTCACTTCGTGTCCATGAATGTTATTATCATAATCTCCAGAGAGACTCTCCATTCATCTCACATTAGCAAAACAAATGTGACGGAAAAAGAACGCCAGCCCATTTAGACGTGAAGCCATTACGGCCGTAGTTAGCTCGGAGGAGAAAGACAGTGGATCGTGTGAGCGGCCATTAATAAGGCGAGGTCGAGCTGTTTGAACTCATTGGGTAATGCAAAAGATGACAGAGGGGTCTTTCCACTGATCTCCCGGCGGTGACGTGGGTGAGTAGCTGCTGTCACACAGAGAGACAGAGAGAGAGAGAGAGAGAGAGAGAGAGAGATTGGAGGAACGCCAACCCAAGCCCAAGCCGTGACCCGTTACCATGGAAACGTTATGATGTAGATAGAGAGAGGCAAGGAAAGAAGGGAGGACTGTTTGAAGACTGTTCACCTGAACTGAACACAACTGAAATGAAGAATATTGACTGAATGGTTTGAAATATATGGAGCTGAATTGAATGATCTCATCTGAACTGAGAACAGAGAGAGGGCGGACACAGATGAGGGGAAAGGCGGGGGGGGGGGGGGGGGGGGGAAAGGGGGGGGGGGAAGGGGGGGGGGGGGGGGGTGTTAACGAAGGGAGACGGGAACGCAACAAGACATCAGAAATCTCCAGCAGGAGAGGCAGAGCGAGGGAGAAAGAGAGTGAGAGAGAGAACACATGAAAAAATGACGGGCGAGTGGGGATCAGGAACATGCATTATTAACGGGCAAATCTAAAAGCGCTTCATCATCAGAGCACAAGAGAAGGGGGTGGAGAGAGCTACAGAGACAGTGGGAAAAAGAGAGAAAGAGGGAAGAAGAGTGCTGGGAGGTGGCAGAGGAGAGAAGCTTAGCAGAGCTGACCCCAAACTCTAGCACATTACCATGGAGACGAAAAAAGAGACACAAAGAATGCTATTTCCTTTTTTAAAAAGAATAGTTTAACTTTTTTTTTTTTAAAATATGCTCATTTGCTTTCTTGCTAAGAGTTAGGTGATAAGACTTTAAGCCTGGAGAGGGTTAGCTTATCTGATAGTACTCTCATGTCAGTTTTTGTTCGGATAACACAATCTTCTCATCTCATTCACAACAAGAAAGGGAATGAGACTTCAAAATATTATGTGGATTTTAACTAAATGGTGCCACTGAAATTATCTGGCCTCATTTCGGTCTCCCAAATATGGTCTCCCCTATAATCTATTCAAACAACACTGGTCATTATCTCCACAGCGTCATTATCTCCACAGCGCTCTGTCAGTGATGGATAACTGTCTGCGCCCATTATCAGAAAGCCACAATATCTTTACCCAAACAGTAGACGCATTGGTCAGAAGAGGGTGAACAGTATCGACACACATGACAACATATAAAACGTTATGTACGGTGGCCTGCTGTTTATTTGAACCAGTCACTGCAAAAACTCAATCCGCAGGCTAGCGAAGTGTTAAATTAACAGGCTTCTTAGTTAATTTTGATGCATTAGAATCACTGCGTGGTACATATTGACTCCAGCACACTGAACAATGGCATTATGTGGACAGGACAGGGGTGACCTGACGAGCCCTGTATTTCAGATTCCCACACTAAATATTATTGGATAAGATAATGGCTTTTTAAAGAAGCAATTCTTGTGGCACAAATAGATGATTTGTTCACACTTTCGGTAAGAGACTAAAATATCTCTAAAACAAGGGTGTGAATGTGAAGCTTTGTGAATGTTCACTGGCTTCTCTAGATGTCCTCATGCCAACTACAGTGTGATCACTATGTCTGGTTAAAGCCTGGTGCAATCCCACTTTGATTTACTATATATCTCCCGTTTCAATTAGCTGCCTGAGTTTACAGATCCATTGGGAACCAGTACACGGCATGTGTCTGTGACGGGGGGGTTGCAGACTATGATAGAATAACTGACCTCAGGCATGAATAGAAATGTGGGTGCACGTGTCTGTGTGTGTGTGTGTGTGTGTGTGTGTGTGTGTGTGTGTGTGCCATAATCCCCTAGGCTGAGGGGGCCTCAGCAATCAGCGACAGAGGGAGCTGCATGAAAAACACACTTAACCTGACAGCCGGGTGCCAACACCCACTTCTATCTTCATCTGATTCCTACACAGTATTACCACACACACATACACACATACGTACATATACACACACATATGAGTAAATTAAAACAACCCCTATGTCAGCTCCCCATTAGCGGGTTAACACACACCCTCATAAACCCACGCACGTGATCAAACAACACTTTGAATGTGGGTTGAAACGGCCATTAGTGGCCAAAATGTAATTTCAAGTTGTTTGATATCCACATTCAGACTGGGAAAAAAAAAAAAAAAAACACTTGAAAGTCATCATCAAATATTTAATCCCCAGCAGAAGAAGCAGATGCAGTATGTAGTTTTGGGAAATAAAACTAACGTATTGTCATCCCCTACCATCTCAGGAGTGGACATTTCAGTACCCAGTATGGCCAAGTCTCAATATTTAACTGCCTTTCACAATAAAACATGTCTAAGAAGACTGCTATGAAGAAAAGTTATATTAAACACAGTCAAAATCCCCAATGTATGAATTTATGATAAAGATCAAACATGTGCAAGTCAATGTGGAAAAAAAGGATTTCTTCTGTGGACTGTAGCTTTGATGGTAACACTGCCATCATCGAGGGGAGTTGCTTTTAAACAGTCATGTTTTCCTGCACTTCATAATAATTAGCAGGTGCTAGCTGTCGTCTAAATGGCTCCGTCCTCATTTCTCCGTCCATTCTGTCCCGCTCACAGCACAGGAAACACAGGGTAAGGTGGTCCAGACTGCCACGAATGAGGTCTGACTTTCTCTAGTCTGGATTCCCAGATACCAGTTGCCCTGGAGCTGGGCAGGGCAAACAGCAGATCAACACAACACCAAAGCAACACATCAACAAAAAAAAAGGACGCACACAACTAGCTTGTGGTTGACAGAGCAGAAACACATCCATTTTCTGCCATATTGCCAAGCAACACAATCCGACTGTAAGATGTGTATCCACACTTAGCGTGGCTCTCATAAATGGAGACGGTAACACCTGGGCAACAACTGTCTGTAGGAGCCTGAAGCTTGTTTGTTGTCAAGTATCAGACATAACATCTGTGTATGAAGAGGTTTCGGATCAGGCCTTAGGGTTATTTATCACTGTGTATGTGTGTGTGTGTTTTCTGTGCTCGTCTACATCTGTCTACGTGTTCCTATAGTCACAGAGAATGACAAATGACCTAATTAAGATGGTCGCCAGGTTGGGTTTAGTGCACCGTGTCATTGTGCATACGGTTTTTGTATTTCCCAGTAGACAAATAAGATATTAAAAAGTGACCGTGTGAAGATAACAATAATTGAGTCATTTTTTTTTTTTTTTCCTAAGGTACAAACTATCCTCTGGAGCAGAGAACGTTTAGGAGGCTGAAGCTAAAGATCACAGAATAAAACAGGAACTTTAATGGCTGCGGTTGAAATTCTACAGTCTGTGGGTACTTTTACAACTTTCCTTGGTTCCTGGAAATGTTACTGCAGCTGAAAGGGGCTGTATCACTGGCCTTCAGCTGCTCTCTTACACTAGTGCACTTACTAGTTTTCACACTTTGACTAAACTGTGAAAACAGTTTAAGGGTGTCCATTCAAACAGTAAAAATTGTATAAAAGGAACTGAAAAATGCCACCGGCCTGTTTCAGGTTGGCCTTTTTATGGCTGCTTTTGAAGTCTCCACTGAGCGTCTCCAACCCATACATTCCCTTGTAATGTTTGTATATGTGTGTCTGTGTGACAGAGATTGAGAGGAGGGGAGGGGGGTGGGGGGGGGGGAGGGTTACCATGGCTATTCGAAGGATTTTTTTTTTTCTAATTTTGTCTGTGAGCATCCTTCAGATGACAGACAACACACACAGTCTAGTCCCACACAAAAAGAGCAGTCAGAGAGAGCTGGGTTTAATCAGAGAGATTTACTGCCTCCTGAAAGTTAGTTTCTCCCCTCCCTCCAGAGGTTAAAGGGACCGTCCTCCCAACCACGCTGTTCCCACTCGACACCACACAATGCACACAATGGAGTCATCAAGAATGTCACACGTACACACAGGGACGGTAAGAGCACGAAAGTTAAATCAAGATTAAGGAACAGGAG